AAAGAGACTGGAGAATTTGACAACAAGGAGCAAACCGCCCGAAAGGAACTGAAGAAGATCAGATCAAGAAGCACCGTTCGAAAGAGACTAGAACATTTGGATAAAGACTCGAGAACTTGACAACAACGAGCAAACCGCTCGAAAGCAACTAGAGAATTTCAGAACAAGGAGCAAACAGCTCGAAGCAGACTAATAGAGAATTTCGAAAGACACTAGAGAAATTGAAAACCAGGAGCAAGCCGCACAAACGGAATCAGACACTAGCGAGTTTGAGAACAGGGAGCAAACCGCTCGAAAGGATCTGGAGAAGCTCAGAACCAGCTTCCAACCGTTCGAAAGAGACCAGAGATTTCAGCCGTCCGAAACGAACGAAAGAATTCAGAAGAGGGAAACAAACCGCTCGAAAGAGGCTAGAGAATTTCAACACAGATTTGAGAGTTGGAAGACAAGGAGCAAACCGCTCAAAAGAAACTAGAGAAAATCAGAAGAAGGAACAAACCGCTCGAGAGACACCCGAGAATTTCGCTAAAGACTAGAGAGTTTAACGCAAGGAGCAAACCGGTCAAAAGGTAGTGGAAAATTTCTGAAGAAGAAGCATGCCGCTCGAAAGAGACTATAGAGAATTTCGAAAGAGACTAAAAGAGCTGAAAACCAGGAGCAAATCGCTCGCAAGGAGCTGGACAATTTCAGAACAAGGATTAAACCACCCGAAGGAGACTATAAATGATTTCGAACGACACTAGGGAGATTTAACACGAGGAGCAAACCGCCCGAAAAGAACGAAATAATTTCAGAAGAAAAACCAAGCCACTCCAAGGAGACTAGAGAATTTGGATACGGAGTTGCGAGTTGGAAAAGAAGGAGCAAACCGCTCGAAAGGAACTAGAGAATTTCAGAAGAAGGAGCAAGCCGCTCGAAAAATCGCAGAGAATATGAAAAAAAAAGACCAAATAATTTGAAGACAAGGGGCAAACTGAAAAGACTATAAAAAAGATGAAAGCAAGGAGCAAAACGCTCGGAAGGAACTGGAGAATTGCTCCAAAGAGGAAAGAATTTCAGAAGAAGCAGACCGCTTCGATAGAGGGGTGGGGGGGGTTGTTG